GAATCGCACAGCAACCCTGTGTTGCGTGAGTCAGTGGACTACACAGTCCAGCAAGTTCGCAAGCACAAAAGGCCGCGGCTCGCACTGTAATCAAAATTAACTCGTGAACTTAGAACAACCAAAATTGGAGCATTTTTACACAATCTTTAGAAAAAATCAAATATTTTTAGACCATATCAAAATCTGTGAAGTGATTTTAACAATGCCTAAACGCTGCCTATCCTAAAAGATTATCTTCTTCCCCTTTGCTCTCGTTCTTCCTTCTCTCCTTTCCTTCCTCTTTTTTCCTTAAAATTGTCTGGTTTCTGGGTTACCAGATCTGACAGACTTACAAACTGACACTGTGACTCAAGAGCTAAGGTCCCACGGACCACTCTGACAACCAACGATGACTTGATGACACTACACAATGCTGCAATCGATTCAAGAAATTATTTAAAAGTCCAAATGGACCTGAATGATTGAATATAAGGTCTGATCCCGATGCCTCGCACTTTTCGAAATAATCCGTGATTCGAAGGCGACCGAAAGGGCAATATATTATCTCTCTCTTGAATGGTGGCTATAAATAAGTGAGGCCAGCCACTCAAAGAAGTCCCTGACATAAATGAATAATGAAGGATGTGGTATAGAATTTTCAATTACCCACTCTCAGAATTTTCCCAAGCTAATGTAAATCTGTTATATAATGTCTCTTGCGTTCTAAGAAAGTCCTGATGTTATTTTTGGCGCTTATTTCATCCTTCTTGCGCCTCGTGTTTCAGTTCATGATTAGAATCGATTATATTATTTCCACTTAACATTGAAAATTGTCGATTTTTCTTCTAGAGTTCATATTTAACCACTTCAGTTTACAAGATGCTTTAGTTTGATTGTTGTGATTTTCATATTTCTTGAATTCGTGTAAGTCTCTATTCGTTGAACATGTTTCATATACGACATCGCAGTGGTTTCACAGAGACAAAACTAGTTAGTCGGTGAGACATTTTTTTAACCTGACTGGCAGGATATGGCGGCGTACGAGTATAACAAAGGGCTTTTAAGAGAAGGCGTTTCTTGTGAGAAGGAAATATTAATAGACCTAAATTTCTTGCCTCTCTGCCAAATAGTTGCCTACTGTTTGAGTCGAATTTTTTGAACGACGTGAAGCTGATACACAAAATGTAGTAGACACTTTGATGAAGATACCTGAATGACTAGTGACGTCGACATCCAAGAGCAGTCTGTGGTTGTGAAAAATACAACCAAGATTACGCAACAATAAATAGCTTATCCAGAAAGAAATACCCAGAGCACGAGAATAAGTATAATTAATAATAATAAGTCTAATTATAATAAGTAATAATAGTACATCAGTGAACAAGATCATGTTGTACGGTGACTCGTAAAAATAAATTTATATAGGTGTATTAATGGAAAACGCATTATACCTGTTTAAAGCATTTAGTTAGTTGATTCTGCAGAAGTCACAGATTTTACTAATGTTGTTCTCATTTACATCTATATTTGTAATTCTGCTGTTGTAAGGAGGCACCTCAAATGCATGTTTCTCATTCACAGTAACCAAGTGCATATACCATCTGTGTTATCTCGAGATATTGAACAGGCACAGAAAAGAAACATACATATATATCCCTTATATCTGGGATGTCGCCAGGCAGCATCCACTTGAAATTTATCCCTTGTTCGTTTATATTTACTTGGCAGTACCGCCTCATTTTCCAGGCTATTTTTTGGAACAAGTGTGTTACATAGATACCGCGTTTATAACTGTGCCTTTGTATAACATTGTCTGGTATTTTTAAAGTGAAATTAGCTATGTTTCTGTTTCTATACCACATAAATGTAGACAATCTTTCACAATAAGTATTTTTTAACAATAACGCATTACACATAGGGGCCAAGAAACGAGATTAAAATTCTGATAGAGAAAATCAGTAATGTGTAGTAGTGGTAATGGTGCAATGGTTGTCAGGAAACAGCGGTGGCCGCAGTAGTAGACTCTTCGGTCTCCTGATCAGTCGCCGTGCGCTGTGCGGGTTCGAGTCCCGTCCCAGGAGAATTTTTTCTCTTGGCTATGGATGTTGTGATTGTCCGTAGGTGGTAGACGGTCTCTGACTGTCCAACGTGGAGGTACCACCCGGCGGATCTCGTAGGCGGAGCCAGAATGTGTGCATGTTGCATGCACACGTGTTCCCTCGCCAGAGTCCGTGTGGCGTTCCCCCTTTCCCCTGTATCCCCCTATAGCCCCACGGTACCCAATGGGTGTTTAGGCCTTAGGCCTTCGTGGTAGTTGGAATATAAAAAAAAATATAGATGGTTTAGAAACTGCAATTTGTTGCCGCTGGATTCATTGAGCCTGAGCAGGCAATGATTCACGACGAAGTTACTTAAATACAGTGTAGCAAATTCGTTCTGAAGGAGTTCTTTAGTTCAAAAGTGCAGGTCCCTGTACTTTAACACTACATAATCCTTTTTATCGGGCAACTGTAGTCAGAAATGAATGTCTTCTACTAAACGGTTATCCATAACCTTTACTGGTTTGGTAGTTGTCAATCTCCTTTGTTATTTGGATAGGTTTGAGAAATTTAGAATAGCATGTTACAGAGGGAATAAGTAAAAAATTATCAATTTCTTTACCAGTACTGTCTAAAACTTTTCTTTCCTAATCGCTCGAAGGAGTTTGACAGCGTTGAATGACCAATTCCCACCAAGACCGATCATTTCTAGTAACCCCTGTATTTGGTAACGGTAATTATGTATAGCTCTAATAGATTCTCCGTTCTTATTCAGAAAGTCGAAATCATATTTGATGGGCTCCTACAACGCCCATACGCCGTGAGGCCGTGAGTAGTAGCTGTAGTTCTTATACTGTTTCCACTGCGAATCCTACCTACTATGTTACCGTATCTTACCTTGCAAATTATTCCGAAATACAACGAGGTAACTTATCTGCCTTCTTCCTGCCATCCTACACAGTTGCTTTAAGGTGTGTATCGCGTTCTATCATAGAAATCCGTTCTGGGAATAACTTTATATATTCTAAGTATTCTTCACAGCTCTGATAGATATCACTCGAATATGATAACTAAGGAGGTTTTCTCATGTGCATATCTTGCATTTGAAATTGAATGTTTCCATCTCGACTTTGCTTTGCAATTTCAAACAATATTTATTGAAACGCATGGTCCGTAATTGTCGCCCTTGGTAAAAACGCAGTGCTGGATTGCATTATATTTGTCAGTCATTACAACAGCTGATTTCAAATAAGCACTGCCAAAGGGTTATTACTGATATTTGCCTCACACCATGTCATGTAGTCTGAAAATTGTCTCTATGATAAGAGTATATTTTTGAGGATTGGGGAATCATTTCCTTGGGGTGGAAATGAGTTGTTTATTTATATTTTTTTTATCTGCTACTTCAGAAGCTTTTTACACTATGCCACCTAGCCTATAAATTGCATATAATACAGTATCTTTTTTAGGTACAACTCGTTTTCGGCAATCTCTTTCTTCGAGGTGAAGAGGAATTTTTATTTATATTTCTTTATTTCCAGTATTTCAAATGGACACTACTATTCATCAACACATATTCAGCTGGTTGTCAAGACAACAGTACTGTGCCATATCAGTACGAACCTTTTTTTTTAACTAGGCCGAGTAAAAAAGTTTCAGCTCTAAAGGAAAAGATGAAATTTTGAAGGAAAGAATTTTTACCTGCAAGAAAGCTCATACACCTCCGATTTATTTTGAAATTGAGATACTTACGTACGTTTTTAAAATATCGTAAGACATATGTCCGATTCTTCATAATACGAAATATTTGAATTTGTTTGAAAGGAAAAAACGTAGTTACTTGTTTTTCGCCTGAAATAACACCTAGCTTGCGAATTGGTTTTTCATTCATATAGATGAGATATATTTGAGTACATTGATGTAAAATGCACTTACCTTCCAGAAAACAGTACTTCTTTAAACTAATAAAAGAGTTGCTGCCCGGGTCATTCTAAGAAAAAAAATAGTGCGAAAGACTCGCCGTCATCCATTATGGGCCTACCACACGCGCAAGCTTCACCACAGTGTTACCTGCGCAGGCCGGTTTGTACATGGAACATGTGTGTGTGGTTAGCGTTCCGTTGGCTTGCGAAAACATCGCAGCGTGGTTTGCACGAGGTTTGTTCAAGCCACAGTCGAGGCTAGTTGCCCTTTGGTAGGTACGCCTTCGTCCGCCACAAAATGGCACATTTGGGCTCATACAAATCGCGAGTTGACGACGGAATTAATAAATTTATACAAATCCTTACCAGCGCTCTTGAAAATTAAGTGTAAAGATTATTCCAACAGAAATAAAGAGAATGCAGTAACCAGGAGCCTTAAAGTAGCGGCCAGCCTTTCGTGAGATGATACACTCTCAAGCATAACCGTATTTTGATGTTGAATGAGAGACGTAACCAAGCGTAATAATTCACTACTCGTATAGGCATTTTCATCCATCCGTAAATAATTTCGCCAGTCGTTTTAATTATTTTTTAAATCCTTCAGTAGATTGATATGTGAATTAATTTTTCTATTCAACATCCACTTAGATCGTGAACGTTTATTTCGACTTTAGCAGTCTTTTTCTGCATTAACAAAACCCTTGCGCGTACTTAACTGTGCCGTGTGGGAGCCACGTCCGTGTTTAAGCTTCACCACAGTCTCACCTGCGCAGATAAAACTGTGGTGAAGCTTGCGCGTGTGGTAGTCCCATTAGTCTCATCTGAAGTTCTAGCCGATTTTCTTTCTAGTCGATTTGTCATCCACAGGGTAGTACCACCACTTACGAAGTTCTCCTAGTGTAGAATACAAATCTGCGTAAGTGTCTACTGCCATATGATACAATACGCATTGTAGCACATGGACAATATCCATTCGAAGTTTGAATTGCGATAACATATTGTAAATTCAACGAAATTTTTCGTTAGTACCGTCTACAGAAATGAAATATTTCAGACTCACCTGAACAAATTCCGTGCATAAATGAATAATAGAGGAGTTGTAGCATGAAAGGTCCCATTTTAAGTTCACTCTCACACTGTCACGAGTTAATTTAAAACGGTTATGTTTCTAGTGCGTTCGACGAAGAGAATTCTGATGTCATCTTCGGTTCTTCCACCCTCGCCCGTTTCTGTAGCTGACGGTGCGGCGTTATTCCAGACGAGAAGGTAGGAAATTATCGTACACTTCGGTGCACCCAGTTGTTGCAGCTAGATGGTTTCGCTACTTTTATTTGGACCTCAGATTCTGAAACAAAGAAATCTTTCGTTATTTTGCTGTTGTGTGAACTGTGTGGAAAAGTGTTTTCTTTTATGGAGATATTCTACCATTTGCAACGGTTGTTCGTAATAGTACTAACAGTGTCATGTACTTGGATAATACATTGGTTTCACTAGCTTTTCAATAATGTGAGACGCAAATTTGCTTCTCGGTCGTTTGGTTTGTTAGGTTTTGTGGACTCCGCGACGGGCTAACCACTGACACTTTCTTGGAACAACAGCTTTTCACTCAGTCCCTTGAAAGCCGTTGGATCTCCCTGGAAATTATTGGATTTTGTCAGATCATCTTAGATTTTCTCGAGTCCCTTTGTATCATCACCAATTGAAATTGAAGGATCTACTGTAAAATCATTAGAAACAGCAACCGTTAGTTCCATTGCAGTTATGTAGATACATATAATCCCTATAAATAAATACGTTATTTGAAGATATTCAGAAATCTTATCGAAGATATTTGAAAATACTTCTCTGGATGGATCCAGGAGCGATTATTCATCTAACATGACTTTTATCGGAGAACTAGCCATATGCTGGGGAGGTAAAACCGCGGGGCGATATCAACATAACATCACCAGCTATATTTTCGTTTCTCGTGTCTCTGAATTCGATTATCTTATTTGCTCAACCTCGCAAGACCACCGACAGGTCATTTCGAGGTCGTTACAAGGTCACAAGTAAACTGTCTATGTATCTTTATATTATGCAACTATTTTACTCACTGTGTATGTACATACGTGTAATTGTATAAGTGTAAGTATTTTTGTGCATGACTTTGGATAGTGTTCTAGATGTGTAATGATTTTATAGGTGTAGTATTTTGGTATGTGTTCTTGATGTCTGAGAGAGATATATTTACTGTTTGTGTTGTAAAATTTTAGTAGCTTATTTAGTTTGAGTATATCGTTGTTAGATGAAAAGATGTTCAAGTGAGGCGTACTAGAAACAAATGAGCGTTCTACATTTCAATGATCAGGGTCATGACTCTAAAGTAAAGTGATCAATTTAGGATTTCAATTATTTCTACATTTACTTCATGATCGACGTCCATAGTCATCACAATTTGTAAAAGTTTGAGAGAATTGATAATTGAGTACAATAATAACCTGACATAAAATCCCCATTATTGCCATTCTAGTTACAATTTTATACATTGAACGCTATCTGAATCTGATGTTTAGTAGTAAACGTTATGGTAGTCATTATTGAACTAGGTAATAATCTAAAACGTTTTTAAATTGGGTAATTAACAAATAAATGGCATTAAGTTTTTCTAAGTTAAGCCGAAATTTGTAGTCAGTAAGTAAGTTTCATTAAAGTGAATATTTAAAACACACATGACAACAGCGCATCGGTTTTTCATCACTCTTATCGAACCGGCAATCGATCGCAAATGGTAACAGTGGTTAGTTATCGTTCGCCGGCATGCTGTTAGTTTACGGTGAAGCTCGTCAGAATTCAAATCTTGCAGCTCAAATTTATCGCGACAGATTTCGCCAACGGGTACACCCAGACAGAAGGACATTTGCGCAAGTGTACCAAAGACTTCGAGATTCAGGAAGTGTCCAGCCCACTAATATTCGCACTCGTGAAAGACAAGTTACTGTAGATCAGGAGGAACAAATTTTAAATATCGTGGAAATCGATGCAGATATCAGCACTCTGGAACTAGGGCGCCGCGTAGGACTATCGCCTACCATAGTCCATAGAATCGTACGGGGAAATTTGCTTTATCAATACCATGTACAGCGAGTGCAAGACTATCCTCGCAGACTAACATTCTGTCAGTGGTTTTTGCACAAAACATTGAAAATCCGGATTTATTTAGAAACATTTTAGCGACGGATGAATGTACCTTTACGCGAGACGGGATATTAAATTTCCATAATACTCACACGTGGGCCCAAGAAAATTCTCATACCATTCATGAAGGTCGTAATGAAGCTTGTGTGGAAAATGGAGGACGACATTTTGTACACCTTCTTTAAATACAAAAAAAAACAATGTATGTATCAAAATTGTGTTCCCTATTTATAAGTGGATTTTCTGAATACGTTCAACAAACTTTCACACACCAGGTGAAGCGCTGAGACAGTTAGTGGTAAGTCGTTTTTTTTAATTGTTTGCATTTTACGAGTACATTATCAAATAATGAAATAATACCTAAGAGCAAAAAATAAACTCCATCTTTATTTACACTGCGTTCCGTCGTAATTTGCGTCTGGCATTGCGGCGTTGTCAGATTTTATTTTACTTTACAGTCGCTTTTCTCTAAAAAAATGCCGTTTTGACCCCCATGTTATATGAAACTTTTTGCTTCTTTTAACCCCGTCTATCACCCCTTTAAATAATGACTATCATAACGTTTACACGCTGTATACCCAAAGCGGGAAAACAATTTAACTAATAAATACAGGTTTGTTTGTATTCTCGTCTATTTCAAAGGCTCTAGTATCTTGAAAATTGCCCTTTTGATCAAGTGTTAACACAAAAGATATTTTCTCAACATACCTGTAACCACCAGGTAGCTCTCTCCTATCACAGTAAGTGAATAAATCACTAAAATCTGCTTTAGTTAGGAAACAAAGCTTTTTAGGCTCCGTCTTCATTACGTTGAGCGGGACGTCCTACTTTAGAACGCAAACCTTGCAACAAAGATGCCAAAATCACTCTTTTTATCACATATGATGTAAGAATTCGTTTTCGAAACTACATTTAATCTCATTAGTCATACTACTGAACTAAATGAAGAAAACCAAGATATTGAAATTGTTTAGAATGTGTTTCGTACGCAGGATATGTGACTTCCAAATGTGAATTTTTAACAGGCGAGCAAGGGTAGTAGATAATACCCTTGTCGCGCAAGAAAATAATACAACATTAGAAAGTTCTACCTTAGGAGAGAAAATATGGAAGAGGGAAAAGCAAGTGTGCTTCATGAACCAATGATAAGCCGAGAAAATATCCTTCCACCACTTCACATCAAGCTTGGGCTAACGAAATAGTTCATTAATGGCCTTGATTAAAACAAAAACTCTTTAAAAAATGTTTCCAGCCCTGAGTATGGCGAAATTAAACCAGGCATCTTCAATGGACCGCAAATGAATACACTCATGACGATATGACACAAATTGAATTTAAGACATGATTATGCTTTGTTTTGGTCAAACATGTTATGGGGAATCATAAAGGACCGTATTACCGAGAAGTATTTGCTAAAGTGCTCAAAATTTTAAAAGGTTGGGAGCTAATATATGTAGAATTAAATTGTATTTACACAGATTCCCGGATAATCTGGGCGACTACAGTGACGAACAAGGAGAACGGTTTCATCTTTTTGCTGAAGAGCAAGTATCTATATTTTCTGCTTTCTGTTACTCCTATGAAGGAACTTAAATATATTTTTCAATACATATAGGTATTTTTATTTAGGTTTTGCGTTTAAGTCAGTTGTATTTATCTCAAAAAGAGAAGTCAACTTGACAAACCCGATAGCATAAATATTCGGACTGCTCTTCAATAATTTTCTGGTATGGGCCGATTAAGAGCAAACTGTTTATATGTTTTTCATAGGAAATCATGATACTTTTGCTCATCCGTTTTCGATTCTGCTATATTGTTGTTTTTAAGTTCTTGCCTGATCACAGCGAATGCCAAGTATCAATTCATATTGTTGTTGTCGGTAGAACAATCCTATAAATATAGCAGCGTTCCATTCAGCTGGAGAGACACTTGAAAACTCTGAAAACTGAAGTAACGGGAACATATAAAAGCACTTTTCTCCCCCTGTTTTCCTTTCACGATCATTGTGTAGAATTGAGACTACTTTTCACTTAATGTAAAGCTATAATGTTTTTCCGATATAGAATTAAAGTTCAATTCAGCTAGACATTCGGAATGGTCTGTTTTGTACAGCTCCATTTTATCGAGGCTCTTCTGCTAACGTTAAAGCATTTAATGGGTGGCTTAAAAGTACTTCTTCTGCTGTGACAAAGTGACCATTAGTTTTTATAGAGGGTGTTTTCGAGTTTAATATTACTTCACTAGGAATAATTTACCCAAGATCACGTTGGATTATAATTGAATAGGTTCAATTAGATAATTTATACTCTGAAGGTAATTACTTGTGAAAATATTGAAGGTACTTATTTGTGAAAATATTACAAATAGCAGAGATATAGTACTAAGTCTAAATTGCTGTAGGTTACCGTTAAGTCTAGCGAAATACTATTCGTAACTTTAAGAGGTGATTCCTTGCATTATTCTAAGCAAAAAAATTCATCATAACTTATGTCCGAAAATCAATAGTTTTCGAGGAAAGTGAGTCGTAAATAATTAAATTTTCTTAAACATTTGGCAACGCTGCTACGCAACCGCGCTACGAGCGCACGACGACCGCAACTGATTCATCGAATTGTTTACGTTTGTATGATGCTTTTGTTGAAAATATGTCTTGAACTATTGAATACTTTTACGCAATTTTTTGAGACTAATAATTTTTATTTAATAACGCTTTCAGTACAGTACATTTACTTAAGAAAATGACAGAACTTACCGGTACGTGGCCATATACACAATCAATTCCCACCATTATCAGTCACTTATTTGAAGCGATGCGATGCACGAAAGAAGAAAAAAAAACAACATCCGTAAATCGCATAAAGTTACATTTAAATGTATCAATAATCACAATAACCCGCGATGATACATGCAGTGCAGGCGAAGTACGACGTCGCCAATTGTGTGAGGAATTTTTTTGTCTGTTTTTCTTCGGAAAATTGTTTTTAATAAGCAATAAAATTATTTTGTTTTGTTAGAGACAGTTAATTAATAAATAGATATATTGATACATTTTACTCTATTAGGCACATGAGTTTAAATTATTAAGGTACAAACTTAATTTATTTCATTACTAAAAAAGTTTAGCATTTTTTTGCTCCGAAACGGTTGATTTTTGGACATAGACTATAATGAACTTTCTTGCTT